CTATCTATCTATCTATCTATCTATCTATCTATCTATCTATCTATCTACATCATCATAATCTATGCTGTATATGTGTGTGTGTATGTGTGTGTCTGTGTGGGTGGATGGCAGGTGCTTGTGCATGTGTGTGGAGGTCAGAGATCAGATTTCAGGAGTTAGTTCCTCTCCTCACCCCATCCCAGGGAACCCATTGATCAGATTCAAGTCCTCCGGTTCAGTGACAAACGCTCACCCTCTGAGACCTGCTACCAGCCCAAAAGACTAATAGAACTTTTGTGCTCTCTATACATTCCCTAGCAGGAGGCAGCAGTAGACAAAGGTTTGTAAAAGGATTATCTCTGACACTACATTTTGTGAACATTGTCCTACCTTCAGAGTGTTCAGTCTTCCTGCTCTGTGGGCAAACTCCCCAGTGGGGCTTCCTTGCTGCCCCATTAACTCTGCTCAGCATATGCTCCGTCACTGCTAAACAGCCTCAGTTCCCAATTACAGGGTAATGGCATCATTAGTTTTACCGTCGTTATTTAGTCATAACGATAAGAAACCGAAAATATTAGAGAAAATTGGGGGGCAGTTTGTGCCCGATAGAGCTTTCATTTTTATGAACATATGCACCTGCACGGCTCAGCTCATTAACAGGGACAGGAAGTTTCTGATGCTCTGCAGTCAGCAATGAAATTCAATTGCTGTCCAGGGAGGAGGAGCTGAGCGTGATCACCCTGTCTTTTCTGTTTGCTGTAACTCAAAACAGAATCTGCACCAAGGAAAGTTCACAGTTAATCGTTTCTGTCCTACAGGGCTGGTCTTAGACAAGGAACACATCCTTAAAAAGAAAGAAAGGAAAACAAAACAAAACATAACATAAAAGCTGTGATCAAGTTTTAGCACATACTTCTAAGAAAAATTTATCTTTAGCCTCTATTTACTGGCAGGGAGAAAAAAAAATCTCAGGTTGAATTACAAAGAGAAAGAGGTTAACAGCAATCTTTTTGTATATCTGGATCCTGTTAGACCAACCTCACAATTCAACCTAGGAACAATAAATGCTAAGTTTCCCCCACTGCAGCACCTCTCTGGGCTTGACTTGATTTAGGATAAAAATATGTTTGGCTTTTATGTTTCTTTTTAAACATAGAAAACTGCTGATTTTGTTTTATGCTTATCTTACTCCCATTCTACATCAACAAATCAAAGTATTTTATTCTATAGTGAATAATATCTATCCATATGTCACATAATTACATGATAATAGTAACAATACTTCTAAGTTTATAATTTTCAGAGCACTCTAAAAATCTCCATATGACCCTGAAATTCTCTGCCTTTTGATGCAGACTTACTAGCTTCTATCCCTGTTTTCAGATGAGTAAATGAAGCCAAGGAACTTCTCCATACAGCCTTTGCAGTGTAGTCATTTTAATATCACCTTATTTGAGCATTATGTGTCCATCTCTATACAGAAAATTGTTTTTTAGTCTTTGAAAATTATCTCTGGGATTATTTTGGCTCCTTTCACTACTCTCATTACTTGTTATTTTCTTGTTCACCAACCAAGTGTTGTTGCCAAATTCATTCCTCATAATATCAAGATGTTTCTTCATGCCATACCGAGACACCATCTACTGGCTTCTCCTTAGTTTGTTCCACAAATTGTCATGTGTTGCTTCCCGACAGCTTAATTTTGCAATGCATGTGTTTTGAGTGTTCTATTTGCTTTTCTTTGCTATTGCATGTCAGCACACCAAAACCACACAACCGTGAAATGTGTGAATGCTTATTTCAGATGTATGTCTCCCCCACAGGGGCCATGCTAATCTTCACTGTATCATTCCAATTTTAGTATATGTGCTGCTGAAGCAAGCACTCAGATTTAGGTTTTAAGTAGTTTTGGCCAGTTGAGCGATGCTTTCCCTTCTTTATTTTAAAGTAGTGTTTACCTGTACATAACCACCATCTTTTGATTTGCAAGTTGATAAGAATAACTACAAAAAAATATACACAGTTTTTTAAAGAAGATTCCAGAGCATGGTGGGTGTTGTCTAAGCAGTGATTAGCCTTGTGTATGTGGATTTCGAATTCACATTTTCTATAATCTGGATTTAATTTTCTTGGTTGTTTTTATTATGTGGGGAGGGTGTGCCTGTGCTGTTGCCTGCATGTGATGGTCAGGGAGCAGGCGTCAGATTTGCGCCCTTTATCCACCATGTGCAACCCAAGGAACCAGCTCAAACTCACGTTGCCAGGCTGGAGCCATTACCCACTAAACCATCACAATGGCTTTGAATTCATATTCTTAACTTTTTTTTTTATGTTTGCAGCTAAATCCTCATTGTACAGAGGAATATTTGAGATCACTGATTATATTCCTGATAGAGTGAGGAAGACTGTAATGGAAGCATTGCTCGGTGGCTTTTGGTGAGATTGGTTTACATGACATCATTTCTATTTTATTTTAGTTATAATTTGACTGGAGAAAAGCTATTACAATCACCGTTTCTTTTGTGTTAATAAAAGTTGAACAGAAACTTCCAGGCTGGAGAGAGGCTATGAAACATGAAGTTACAACTGTCTTATTTTCCTCTTACAGGTATGTATACTTTCTCCCCTGTGTGCTGAGAAACATCTAGCTTTGTCTAGATGGAGAAAGCTGTCTATATTTAAGAAATTATAATAGAATAGTTCATCTCATTGGCCCATTCTGATAAATTATTCCTGATTTTACATCTCAGCACTGATAGCATTAAGCTTGGGATACGTCTTCAAAACATATCGTTTGTATATTACAAAATGCCTCTTGGTTTTATGAGAAACTCATCCAAAACAAGTCTTCACTCAGGCATTGAGCAGCCTTTGAACATTTCTGAATTGTAGGTTTATACCTGGAGATTTCTGAGTAGTGTAGAAAATTCTCACGTGCAAATATTAGCTCCCCTGCTCCCTGAAGCCGTGTATTCTTTAGAGGAACTCTAGAATAAGAACAGAAAGAGTCTATTTTGTGTAAGTTACGCGTTATGATTAACTTTTCCTGAAGCAGGAATGAAATTCCAGCTCTGATTCTTAGTCTCACTGTGTGCTGTCAAATCTGCAAGGCCCATCCTCTGCACCAACTAACAATGCTGTGGGCACTAAAGGAAAGCTGCTCAAAACGCTTGGTTCAAGATGGGCTCTCATGGAACATTCAATGTATAATAAATTATACCGTGACACTGTTGCTATGGCTTTATTTTTAGGTGATATATTTAGATACACCAGCCATGGGACTCATGGATAAAACTCTGAAAGGCTTTGGAAAATGGAGGTAAAATAGAAGAGGAATTTGGACTGGAATGGAAAAGGCTTTTCTATTTAGAATATCTCAGCTTCTTCAATATAAAATTCTCAAGAACCATGGAGCTCCTGAGTTCTGCTGAGTGAGTTTCTCTTTTTTTTCTTTTATTCTCGCCACATATAGAGTGTATAAATACTCAGCAATCACTCATTCATATTTTATTTATACACTATCTGATAACTAGAAAGCATTTCTGTGTTTGTATCATGCATCAGAAGTGTCATATATTCAGCTCTCACTTTGTATCATTGAAAATTTTCAAATGAATCTGAACTCGGCTGCAAGTAGAAAATATTTCAGTATATTTCTGAAATCGGCTATTATACCTGCTCTTAGCTTCCTTTCCTGTTCTCTTTTGATAGGCTTTCTAATCAATGTAAGATGGCTTCTCATTAATTTACTGCCCCGCTTTTTCTTTAATGAACTGTTTTGAGCTTTATAGAAATGAACAAGTACCTGCGCAGTCTGCGGCTGGCATTCCATCAAGCACCTATCAGTCCTTCCTTCATTGTAGTTGTCATTGTTGTAACTACTGCCAGTCACATCGTCCAATATTTACACTTTCGCTACTTCATTTATCTAACCTTCATAAACACCATAAACTCAATGCCCTTTTCCTCATGCCAGAATTTTACAGTGTTTTGTTTCATTTTCATTGTTGTACTTGCTCAACTTAAATCTGTTTCTTTTCTTTCAATCCTTTCCTGCTATTTTTGTTGTTTAATTTAAATTTATTCACTTTACATCCAGATCATAGTTCCCTTCCTCATCTGATCCCATTCCCCCATCCCCCTCCCCTAGACCTCAGAAACAAGGAGCCCTTCATCTGACCCCAGACTATCAAGTCTCATCAGGACTGGCTGCATTTTCTTCCTCCGCAACCTGGCAAGATTAACTCCCTTTTAGTAATAAATTTCTTAATTTTGTTTGCAAATGGATTAAAATGTTTGTGTTTCAAATTTTAAAAGATAGACAGGTAATGGAGCAATTGTATTTTATATGAGTTTTCTGGCGTGCCTTTACTTGACTGATGCAGGATATTTAATGTGACTCACTCTCTGTCAAATAATAAGGTGACCTCATGTCTGGTAATTAAAAATGGATTTTAAAATATGTCAAAATCTTTGCAAATGTTTTGGAAGATCTACATACCATAAATGTATACGTTTATTATTTGATATTTTTATACTATTAAAAAAGTCAGAAACTTTCAAAAATTATTTATTTTTGTTTTCTGTGTAGGAGAGTTTACCTACATGTATGTATGTGCACTACACGTATGACTTGTGGACATGGACGTGAGAACAGAGGGTTAGACACACTGGAACTAAAGTTATGAATGGCTGAGAGCTACCACGAGGGTGCTGGGCAGTGAACGCATGTCCTCTGCAAGTGCAACAATGATTTTTAAAAATTATTTATTTATTTATTTATTTATTTGGCATTTCATCACTGAGTATTCTTTCAAATCCTTTAAAATATTTCTCTCTCTCTCTCCATACTATTTGTGAGTATGAAAATGTTGCCCAAGCATATATCTGTTCTTCACAAGCATGCAGTTTCTGCAGTGGCTAAAAGAGGGTGTCTGATGCCCCTGAGATAGGGATTGCAGATTGTGGCTAACTGGGTGGTGGTGGTGGTGAAGGAAATCCAACCAAGGTTATCTGGAAGAGGAGCCAGTGTCTTTGACAGTGGTGTCATTTCTCCATCCCAGGTGTACAGCTCGAGTGGCTACTTTTACATCTAGAACTGCTACTAATGCCCTGAGCAACTTGCTTTATGCCTTAATATCTCTTTTCACATCTCAAAGGAAAAGCATGGTCTAAGTGGCTTGTTTTCAGGGAAATCAATCCTATAGCTTGTCATTCAGCCAAGGCACAATGCTTTTTCACAGCTGGAACTTAACCAAAAGATTATTTAAAGCGATGGAAAAGAAAATAAACCTCTTGGTTTTGCTTCCACTTTTTCTTACTGATGTCCTCTTCTTACAGATGAGAATTGATGAGAGCAATCAAGAAGTGTAGGAAATCAAACCAGTATAAATTCTCTAACATTAATGAACACATTGTGTAGAAGAATATTGTAATTTTTATTCTGGGCATTTTGGAAGAACGTTATAACTCCTGAAGAGAAAGGACATCAGGCAGGATGTGACAAAGAAGCCACTGTAACTGTGGATGGAGCAGCAGGTGCTGAGGAAGAAAACTAAATTATTCCTAACATAAGCAAGACATAGTAGAAATAAATGAGCCATAAGAAAATAAGAGCTACTTAGAGTAAATTGCTCAAAGACCTTGAAGCCATCATAACCAGACTCACATAATCCATAAGTGGTTTTGCAATAAATCTCTGTTAATTTTATTGCAAACCAATTGTAAATCTTTAGTTAAGTTCCTTTGGATGAAAATCATGTTTAGGAAGTATTTCTAGTCTTCATTTTCTCTACTAGAACAGAAATTGGTTCTGGTGAATAGCAATTGAGGGAAAAAAATAGACAGTGCCTGCCTTTCAAGTGCTCATGGACAAATGACAATTATCCAGAAGGACAGCTAAAACTCATGTTGAGGATATAACCCTTGCCTCTGAACTCTTTTTTTATCTGCAGCTGCCTGTCTTTGTACTCTTACTATACCAGTATTTTCATGATGCCTGCACTTCATGGAGCCTGGTGTCCAGCCTAAGCGGTCAACAGCCTAGACCACATTCATTCTCATTTTAAATTTTGCTCGGTCCCAGGCACTTTCATGTTAAATCTCTGTGCACAACCCATAAGGTAAGATTCATTAAGCAAGTTAATAATCTTTGAAATGTTTTGACAATTAATTTAGTGTAGAAAGAGGTTTTGTTGTGGCTTCTCTACATATATATCACTGTACTTTGCTCAATTAAACCCCTTAACTCTTCTCCTTACTTTGTCTCCCAATTCCTCATAGTAGTCCCTTCCTTCACAAAACAACTTCTCTTCTTTTTCACCATGAATATATGCTTGCATGTGTATTCCATATGAAAGAGAAATATGATATTTTTGCAATCTTGCTTATTTTGTTTTGTAATGATGGGTAGATATTTGATAATATTTGAAAAAAATGTTAATATAAAGAAAATGGAGTAATTGTACATAACAAAGACTCTGTGGTTTCTAAAACTTAAATAGAAGTATGCACATTTCTATTTCTGTTTTTGTTTTTTTAGCATCCATGGAGGATGCTTATAAAAATTCTGGCTTATCCTAAATCTGTATATGCTTAAGTCCTTTGGATAAAACATCACCGTAATAGCTTATATCCTACACACATTTTCCACAGGCTTTAAATCACCTCTGGAGTATTTGCAATACCTAATATAACGAGTAAATGCTAAGCATATAGTTGTTATTCTAATTGTCCGGGGAATAGCACAAGGAAAAGATGGTTGTGTATGTATTTAGAACCTACAGTTGTTTTTTGAATACTTTAAGTCAATGATTGATTGAGCCCTTGGCCCCACAGAAACAAAGGGACAACTCCACCATCGAGTTATTAAGTAGAGAGTATACC